CGTTGCCTCACTAAGAGACCCCAGCAATGTGAGATTAACAACTACCTTCTTTTTTCCCTTATCCTCACCCAAGGGTATATTTTCCATTGATTTTTTTAGAGAGAGTGGAGTGGAGGAAGAAAAGAGAGGTGGGGGAGAGGGAGAGAGAGAGAGGGGGAGAAAAAACATTGGATGTGAGAGAGAAACAGTGATTGGTTGCCTTTTGCATGTGTCCTGACTGGCAGGGATCAAGCCTGCAGCCAACCGAGATAGGAGGTACATGCCCTTGACCAGGAATCAAACCACTAAGCAGAACTGCCCAGAGCTAATAACTACCCACTTGATGCAGAATTTCACTTAGCATCTTTGTGATTAGTTTTCTTTTAATACAATAATAAAATTTTCCTTGCAAAGAAGGATGAAACTTTGAAAATTAGAAAATTTCTTTTTATAGGTTTCACGAACTCAGACCAGAAAAAAAAAGTAAACCATTCTATCACAAAACTGGAGCGGGGGGGTGGGGCGGGGGGGGCAGGAAGTAGGTTAAATGACTATTGATGCCTTTTTACATTTATTTGGTTGACTTTTTAAAGATGTACAGTAACTCCCCCATGATCATTCTCACATATTAATCACACAGAGGAAAATTATAGTTTTACAATAGGGAACCCTAGCTGACATCACCCTAAGCAGGTGATCAAAGTTAACATCAACATTGGTGAGACATACTGACATCACGTACCCCTGACATGATGTTACTGAGAAGGGCCCAACATCATTCTGCAGAATTCTCACCCAAAATATATATCTTCAGTTTAATCACGATAGGCTATCAGACTAATCCAAGTTGAGAGACTTCTTCGAAACAACCAATCAGTACTCTAAAAGCGCCAAGGTCATAAAAGACATGGACAGACCGTCACAGATTGGCGGAGGTTTGGGAGGCATGAGTCAATCCATCCTGGATTCAATTCTACAACAGAATTGAATTCCGATGCTAGTGGAAAACTGGTGAAACCAGGATAAAGTCTACAGTTTAGTTAATAGCATTTTACCCTATTCATTTTTCAGTTTTATAATGGAACTGTGGTTTTGCAAAATATTAACACCGAGGAAGCTGGGAGAAGCTTACACAGAACTCACTGAGCTACCTGTGAAAGTTTTCTGTGAGTCTAATATTGTATCAAAATAAAAGTTAAGAAAAAGTTGTCATCTTTATCCTCATGAAAGTGACTCTACAACATCCTAAGTTCTCTAAACTTTGTGGACACATGAAGGATTAATGACCAGGGAGGACGGAGTAGGTTAAAAATGGACAAAGCAACTGGCCAAATGTTTGGGCAAACGACAGGATCAAAGGAAATGTGCCAGATGTTTTCCACTCGCTCTACGCAGGGAGGCACCCCACTCAGCAGGGGCCCACTGTAAAGAGAAACCGGAGACACAAACTCTGATTTCAACCCTAACATAGTGACCTATAAATATCTTCTCTCTTAAGACTCCTATTTCCACTATTTCTGAATCCTCTGGATAAAGTCCAACTGCTGTGCTTATGCATATGCCCATAAGTTCACAGAAGTGTCTTCTAACTAATTTCAATCCAGGAAAGTACCAATTAACATGTCATTAAAAGTTCCTAAACTTGGTCTTTTCTACAAAATCGTTACTTTCCTGTCATCATTTTCATTTTGATAGAATCATTCTCATTCTAGTTATGATATGAGGAAGCCACATCCCCTTTGCAAAAGTTTAACATTGTTGTAGAATTAGAATGCCCAGGATAACCTTGGTTAGCTTCTATGTTTGTTTTTGAGGAAGAGTTGGTTCTTTTCTTCTTCTATTTTTATCCTCCTAAAGACAATTCCAACCATTTGCTGTAACAGAGCTGAGAATGTATAAGCCTTCATTCTCGTTTTTCTTTACAGGATAAAATGTAAAGGACAGAATGTTAAAAAAAAAAAAAAGAATTACTTCTCTTCCCAACAAATACTTAGTATTCTTGAGTCTCTTTCCTGCATGAGCAAGTTGTAGGGATTGGTACCAAGACTATCTTACTCTCCTTACATCAACACTGTGATTAAAAGTGGTAATAGTAAGAATACAGCTAACAATTAGATGCTTCCTTGGGTCAGACACTATTCTAAGCAGCTGAAGCAAGTTGCCTAAGGCCACATGGCCGTAAAGAGTGTAGGTGGAGTCTGACCCCAAGCCTGAGTAACTGGTGCTTTATACTGGATACTTACTTTAATAAAACAAAATGGACAGGCCCGAAAGAAATTGCAATGGACACCCTGCTTCAGTGTTGAAGATTAACAGGGAGAAGCTTGCGATTGAGCAGCCTTTACTCAGCTTCAGCGAGTGCTGGCAGGCGCAGCGGAAGCCTGAGCTGCTGAATCATTTGATTTTCTTTCTTTCTCTCCTCTCTCTCTCTCTCTCTCTCTCTCTCTCTCTCTCTCTCTCTCTTTCTCTCTCTCTCTTGGTAGCAGTCTAGATTTATGTCTTGATTTTTGAAATGTTACTGCTTATTTCAAACATTTTCTAAAAATCCTAGTGGTCTGAAAGGTAAAGAGCCATATTCTCATGGCAGGGACTTGGTTTCATTCATCTTTGTCTACCTAATCCCTAATGTGCTGCTAGCACATAGTAGGTGCAAAAAGGTTGCCTTCTGCTGTTACAACCCCTGCCATTTTATATTTGTGGTAGGAATTCATTAATTTATTCACCAAATATTTACTGAACTACTACAATGTGCCAGACACTGCTCTAGGCACTTGGGATACAATAGTGAAGCGAAAGGGGAGAGAGAAGCAACAGAGGATAATATTTTCGTGGGAGAAACAGGCCAAACAAAAACAAAAGAATATAAAGTCAGATGGAGTGGACGATTGGAAAATGAGATGGTTTGCTTTGAATTGAGCCCATGCCGACCAGAGCTAAAGAATGAAACTTAGGAAGTTAGATACAATAGTCCATGCTTCCTAATGCCATACTGGTCACTACTCCACAAATATGTCACACATATGTAAGCAATTTAAAGAAAAGGGTCAGAGAGAGAGAGAGAGAGAGAGAGAGAGAGAGAGAGAGGGCGCTTTCTTCATAAGGAGAACAATAAGATCTTGCTCCTTGGCTTGAAAGGAAGTATTGATCAGTAGTTAGTGAGTCAAAGGTTAATAACTTGGGCTCGATTATTTCTGTTATCTGCCTCATGATTGATGATGTCCTCTGGCTCCACTCAAGACAGGAGCCCCCTTTTGATTGCTGTTACTGGGAACCAAGGAATTAAGCCATTCTCTAGTCATTTAGTTGCAACAGGGGCAGGGGTCGTCTATCTCCTGCATCAGAGGGTAAGTGGCACAAAGGTCCCTACAGAGAGGGTACAGGGCAGTCACCAAAACATGCAAACTTGAAGCAACATAAATCTAACTGGCAACTGGCGGGGCAAAACGCTAGCTAGCTCTGACACACAGCTCTCCTGCTCTCAGGTATTATCATTCCATAAGACCACATGCTGAGTTCATGGAACTTGTCCTCCAGTTTGCTTTGGAAACGGATGTAGTTTCAAGTAGCCCAGATGGCACAATCTGGCTCTTGCTCCTGGACAGCTGCTGGGAGCTATAGACAGGACAGCTATCCCAGATGAGGCATATGCTTCCTACCGCCAAGTTGTATCTAAACATGCACAAACCTGGCCCCCAGCTTCTCATCAAATCACTCATATCTATTTCATACTCATAATTTGAGTAATTAGAGTCAATAATTACGCTTAGAAAACACCCTCAAGACAAATGCAAGTGTGTATGTTCAAGCAGCCTTTAAAATAATGTACACAGCCCCTAAGACTGGAAGGAAAATGTTATTTTCTCATTGTCTTTACATATAAAAATTAGATTTTACTCAACCAGCACTTTTTTGGAAGAAACAATATTTTCTTTGTTAGTCAAGCCCAAAACAGATCTCATGCCAAGGCATTTTGTTCTTGTCATGGATACTAGCCAAAAAGATATTCCTTGAAATAAAAGTCACAATCTGTTGAAAGCCTCACAAGTCCACTAAATTAGGAAACAACTCATCATTATCACATAACTAAAAAGCATGAGAAAAAATTAATGACTTAAAATAAATATACAAACTCCCCACTTGTAAAGAAAACCATCAATGGATCCATAGCTGCAAAATAGCCGCATTTAAACAAATAAAATTTCCCCTAAATATGTGTCAGATATCAAACCATCCTACTTACCAGTGTACTATCTTTGTCTACCCACAGAAACTTCCTAAAAGTCTAATGTCTTTGGTTTCGTTCATGGAAGTTTCATTGGCCTTGATCTTGCATCAAATAGATGGAAACTGATAGAATAATTTAACACAGATTCCTGATGTATTACATCTAAACTGCACATAATGAGATGGTTATAGGTCTTTTAACCCAAAAGAAATGTTATAATTGCATTTAAAGAATAGTCAACATTAGCAATAATGAAATAATGCCAATGTATTTATACAATTGAAAGTTGTGGGGTTTTTTTTAAAAATCTATAAATAAAATTGTTTATAAACGTCTACTGAGATATACTTTTTGGAGAATCTCTCCATCTAGTGCGCATTCGTTCAGGTGGCATGAAGTTACCTAAGAAGCTCTGGATAGGATTCGAGGATTTAGCATAATGTATTGTAAAATCTTTGCTTTCTGCCTGTGTTTCATTTTAGATGCCTTTAAAAAATTCTCCAATACCTCCAGGGGTGAACCTGGCAAAGAGGAGGCAGATGCCTGCTATCACCAAGTTGTCTCAAGAACACAACTCTGCTACCGATCGCTGCCTTCAGCTGTGGCGGGTGCAACTTCGTGCACTTCCCACTTCCAATCCAGAACAATGCAAAGAGCAGCAGGCTCACTCCCCCATCCACCCCAACTTGCAACAACAATCAAGGGATGGTGGAGGGATGCCCAGGCAGAGAACCCCGGGGGCCAGCCGGAACCCCCCAGCCCGGAAAGCCCCGCTCCCCCCGGAGCGGCTCAGTACCTGCTGCCCGGGTGGCTGGCGGCGGCGCGGGGCGCGCAGCGCGGCTCGGAGCTGGGCGGCTGGGAGCGGGCGTACGAGTGGTAGGCGGTCAGCACCACGCCGCCCGAGTCCTCCACTTCCATCGTCAGCCGCGCATGTCCTGGCTCCCGCCCGAGAACAAAGGCGGGGACCAGCATGGACCAGCACCGGGACCCCGTCACCAGCGGGGAGGCAGGGCCCATCCAGCCCCCGGGGGCTCTCTCCGGGCTGTCAGGGCAGCCGGCCCCGCCCGCGGGGCAGCGCTATTAGCATAGATTGCAAAACACGCCCCGGAGCCCTGGAGGGGGTGGGGGGCCTGAGGACGAGGTGCTGGGGTGGGATCCCTGTCTCTAGGAAACTGGAAACCGGCTGTGATCCTTCAGGGCTCGGGCGAGCTGCTCTAGTCAAGTTCTTTTCTTGCTTTGTTTCTTTTCCTTTTCCTTTTCTCACCTCCCCCCTTCCACCGGGAGGCTTATCCGATCGCGAGGAACATTTCCTGCCTGGTAGCCTGGAGTGAGAGAAAGAAACCCTGCCCGGGAGCCCGGGCTGAGCAGAGCAGCCAGGTCCACGCTTGTGGTCTGGGAAGAAAGGAAGAAAATGCGACTCTCATTTAAAGCATCCGCATCAACAATGGAAGAGCCGGATTACGTTGCTGGGTACTTAGTCAAGTTACAATAAACTTGCTTTCCTTTCGGGCAGGTAATTCCCGCTTACAGCAGGCAGAACGTGTCCCTCCCTCGCCCTCCGTGCCACAACAACCAGGCTCTGACCTCACTCCCACATCCCTTTCCTCCTCCCAGTCCTGATCAAATTAACAGACCGCTTTCAGCCGGCCTGGAAATCAGGCTTCCTGAGCTGAAGCTTGTTACTGCCAGAGGTGTTGATGGGAGGTTGAGGAGGGGGGTGGCTGGCTGGAAAGAGCCTACCGTGTCTCTGTCTTTCACACCCTAACAGGGTGTGTTACCTGCTGTCTCTTCCACTCCCCTGGGAGCTGGGTAGAATGGAAAGAGGAGTTAGTGCACCCCTGGCTGAGGGATGGCCTGTCATGCTACTGAACATCTCAGAATCTGCTTCTGCATCCGTGAAAGGGGAAAAGAATATTCTTTCTTCTCAGGGCATTAAAAGCACCAATGACATGCTAAGATCTCAAGAAACATGTTTCTCTCTGCTACTTCCTTTACAGACATCCAGGGAGACATTTGTTTTCACTGCAATTTCAGAGGTTGGGAAAAACAAAACATTTTTCACCCAAAATGCTTTTGTAAAACATGTTTTGTTGATTAAAGAAAGGGTGGGACAATAACTAACATTTACCAAAATACTCATGTATTGGACCCTGTACATTAGCTCTTTAAACAACTCTCTGAGGCATTATTACCCGAATTTTTTGACTAAAGAAACTTATCAAGCATCCGTGTATGGAAAAGGCCCTGCAAAGGTTGTTTCATTCCCCAAAACTTGCAGACACAAAGAGACATCTGTTTACCTACTGTGTCTAATGCCAAATACATTAAAACTATGACAATACTTTCTTAAAATGTGAAATAATAAAGACATAGTGTAAGTATGGATACATGCCCACAATGCCTCATCTAAAACCTTGGAACCAGATACATTTCAGAATCTATTAATATTTTTTTCATTTTAAAAGTAACGTGGTGCATGCCCATTTAACATAGAACACCCTCCATCCGGTACAATTAGGGATAGCACCCTGTATTTAAACATATTTTCTTTAGCAAAAAGAATTGACCCTAAGTGCAATAAAGTCTATGATTAGTCTCACGTCAATTCAGGTCAGGTTTATCACCAAATAAGTTTTGGCACCAAACTTTTTTTAAAAAGGTGTATTTTTTTTATATATATATTTTATTGATTTTTTACAGAGAGGAAGGGAGAGAGATAGAGAGTTAGAAACATCGATGAGAGAGAAACATCAATCAGCTGCCTCCTGCACATCCCCCACTGGGGAAGTGCCCACAACCCAGGTACATGCCCCCAACCGGAATCGAACCTGGGACCTTTCAGTCCGCAGGCCGACGCTCTATCCACTGAGCCAAACCGGTTTCTAAAAAGGTGTACTTTTTACAGCTTTTCGAATTTTGGAACTACCATAGGAATTATAGTAGTGGAACTTTTTATGGGTATGTGATTTCTCCTTGGAATTTTTTTTTTCTTTTCTGAACTACAGACTCACAATTTTAAATACCTGGGTACTTCCTTTAAAACACTTTGGCCGTAACTCTGCCTCAAGATGTCCAACACCACAGTAGTACTCCATCATGCTTGGCATCATAACCCTTCTTCTTCTCATGCTTGGCATCATAACCCTTCTTCTTCTCCTGTATATTCAAGTTTTACCCACCCTGGAGTCACTTTGACTCCTCTCTCCAATCAATTAGCAAATCTGTCAATTCTTGCTCAAAATGTCTGCCAACCATTCCTCCTATTCCCACTGCTACTGTCTTCGTTCTCCCATCACCATCTCTTGCCTTGGTGATGGCAATTCTTCCTTGACATAGATTACTTTCAATCACCTCCTCTTAAACCCTGCCCCTATTCCAAGTGCTGGTAGAGTGATTTCCCTAAAGCACAGGCCGGCCCCTTCTCAAGTGTCCTCAGGTGTAACCCACTTACTAAAAAATAAAGTCGGAACTTGTTACAACAGCTTCTCATTAATGTTTTGGGCACCTAAAACTTTCTCGCTCCCAAGACCCTATGGCCCATTCACACTAGCCTGTCCTGCACTCTTAGTTTGCCTTTGCTCCTACGTGTCATTTTCCTATTTGGGAACCTTAAAAGCCCTCTATCTAACCCCATAAAGGCTTCTCAGGTATTCCTAATTCAAAGTAAGCCCTCCTCTGGCCTCTTGTGAAAATTGCTCTTACTTCTGTGGTAGGAATAATCGCATTCTGCCATGGAGTAAAGCACAGTTACTCAGATTGCAGTGTGTACACGCTCTGCTCCTGTGCCCACCTCACACGTAACGATTCCATCAGGCTGGTTTTTGCCACTGAGCCCAGATGTGCCCACAAAATTCTTCAAAACTGAGTCCCCAGCTGCAAGATAACTTTGAGACAAAACTATTTGCCCACCCAAGATTGTATTACTGTCCTCAACAAGTTAGTGCCTTTTCTTACATTGTAAGCTAGTGTCATATTTTTGTCATTATATCATAGAGCCCATCGTGTTTTGCAGAGTAGGCAATCAATAAGGCATATGTGTTCAATGAATGAACATATGAATCTAATAATGAATCAGTGGATGAAATAGCACTCTCTAGTACAATATTTCTGTTCTTTCAGAGTAGCCAAGGAATTATTATTATACATGGTTCATGAGTCTATATGACACTGCAAACTAAAAAAAAAGTGTTTCACATGTATGTATTAATATTTTTCAACTGGGGATAGACACTTAATAAAATACAACTCTGCAAGTATTCTTGAGTTTTCGGGTTTCATAAAGATGGTAGAGTGCACATCCTATATAATAAAAGAATAATATGCAAATCGACCGAACAGTGGAACGATGGGTCAGCAGGGAGCGGGGCCAGCAAGCAGGGGATGCCAGACCAGCCAAGGTGCATTCCAATGAGCAGAGGGGGTGGGGCAGGGGGTGGCAGCAGTGGGTCAGCAGGGAGCAGGGCCAGCAAACAGGGGATGCCAGACCAGCCAAGGTGCATTCCAGTGAGCAGAGGGGGTGGGGCAGGGGGTGGCAGCAGCAAACAGTGGCGATGGAGGGGTGATGGGGGGCTAGCGCCATCCCCTGATTGGCCCGCCAGTTGCCCCCCACAGAGGGAGGCCAGACTGAGGCTTAGGCCTGCTCCCCACCTCCCCCCAGGGAATGGGCCTAAGCCATCAGTCAGACATACCCTGAGGGCTCCTGGATTGAAAGAGGGCCCAGGCTGGGCTGAGGGATCCCCTCTTCCCCTGGAGTGCACAAATTTTTGTGCACCAGGCCTCTAATATTACATACTATAGAATACTCTATGCAAGATAGCCTCTGTTTGCCCTCCAGACCCACTTGCCACCCTCACTACCCTGCTTAGTCCTGGTGTCTGCATCCATGAGCCCCCTTGCCTCTACCTTCAGGAAAGGGGCACCCAAAGAGAGGTGCCACCAGATGATCTAGAGAGGGAGGAGGGAAAACCAGGTGGGTGTTTATTTCCCAGGCTTCTTCTCTGCTGTTTTGCTATTGTCTGGTTCCTTTTACAAAGTCATGGTTCCTGACTGCAGCTCTCTCCCCTGCTGGTCTCTCTGGAGTCCTGTAACACTACCTCTACCTTGCCCTTCAGATCTAAGGGTGGTAACAGCACTTGGTCCATCAAGAAATCCCTCTGTCTTACCTCCTGCAAAATCCCTAATTGGTCCCTCACCCCACCCACACCTTTATAGACAGTCCCTTTACTGAGTGTCCCATCTCTTCCCGCCAAGATCCTGACAGATACATATCAGAGATTTAGGCAGTATCCCGTAGACAAAAACATTAGAATGTCTGCAGTGAGCTGTATGAATATACACACCATGAGGGATGAATATAAACAATAAACACTCTCATGTCAGTCAGTTCAGGTGTTTTCTCACCAAATAAGTTCAGGTCTGAACAAGTTTTGCATTCAAATTAGTTACAAAAATTTTTCAGATTTAAGAGCTTTTTGCATTTCAGGATTACAGCTATGGGACTGTGGACCTGGGGTCTGTGAACACTCTTGCATGCTGGGAATCACGGGGCTAGGGGATGGCAGCACAGGACTGTGACACCCGGTTCAGCGCAGAGTAACCGGGAACCCTGCGAAAGGTTCTTCATCTGGGAACTGGGCTGATAAATAGCCCCCCTGGTGGACAGTGGCCATTCAGGCTCAGAAGTAGCATTTCCAGTTTATCTGGAGTAGGGCAACAGTAGAGGGAAAGTCTAGTTTCCCACCCAGTGCTGCTCTGGGTGTCCCTGCAGCACCCAGCACTGGAGTGAGAACGGGAGACCTGGGAGTTAGCACCACCTCTGCCCGTAACAGAACATGGAGCCAGTCGCTGACTGCACACCTGTTTCTCCCATGTGAAAGAAAGAAAACAGCCCACATCTGTGGAATGTGTAGCATGTGCCTGGTTCTGGTCTAGGCATCAGAACCCCAACTCATGAAATGCTCCCTGTAGCCTTCTCAGACACATCTTCATCTTACAGTTGAAGAAACCAGCTGTAGTAACCTTCCCAGACAAGGACATGGCAAAGCTGGGATTCAAACCCAGGCAGTCTGGCTCCCTGAATCCATGCTTTTAAATATCATATTTCTATTTCATAAAAGAGTCGCTGAGATTCAAAATATATTCCTCCTCTATAATGTAATATGAAATAGGTAGGATCCATGTTTCTTTGTTGCAGCTTTCCATACATCTACTTAGCATATTGAAGGATAGATATCATTAGCATATAATAATGAT